CTTACCGCCCTTGCCGAGCTTGGCAAAGGGTGGCCGGCTCTTTCTCTCGGACTTGTGGTGCCGGGCACGTGGGTTTGACAGTGGGTTTGGACCTGCTGCCCATATAGTGGTGATAGACACACTGCTGACATCCCAAATGCAGTGGAGTCCCGGTGTGTCATCACGACCAGTCTCTCCAACCACCTGTGTTCAACCGGGTTTGGTGATCGATCTCCTCCTGTGTTCACAGTGTCTTGTTTGCTGGTCGTTGAGTTTTGGAGTCTAAACTGATCATCGGCCATCATCAGCTCCTTAATGGTAAAACATGGTAAATGGATGCAACGACGATTTATGATGACTAACGCTAAGGATGGCTGGCAGTGGACGGAATGGACATCCCACAGGATAGTCTAGGATAGTGTGTCATATGATGGTCCGCTTCCATCCTTTGAGCGAAAGAAAACATATATATGTGTTTTTGTGCTACAGAAGTGGAGTCGCTGCCGGTGTCTTCCGTTCATGTTTGTTGCGCTTCTTGGGGGGAATCTGACGACTCGCGGTGATTCACTTCCGAAGACACGACTCGGACCGAGAGAAAGGGCTGAAGAAGAAGTGGTTTGGACCGCACCGTAGCACCCGCCGTGGAGATGGACCAAGCCGGACGAAGTCATGATGGACCCTTTTCTGCTTCTTGTTACTAGTAGTAAGGCACCTGTTACTACTAGCTTCTTGTTACTAGAAGCGATGCACTTGTTTCTACCAACGCCAACGTGTGCTAAACCGGAGAGAGGTGCCGCGGTGAGAGGTGCCGCGTTCGAGATCGTGGTGGTCCAACTCAGCTTCGTTCAGACCTACTCTGCTGTCCAATTCTCGATTCAACGGTCCAAAAAGGTGTGGCTGATTCGATGTTGTTGCCTTTTTGGTTCTTTCCGAAACGTGAGGCGAGACTGCACCGAGTGGTGAGACTGGGAGCCTGGTGAGCAGTGCTGGGTGGAACAACATGGGGTGTCAAATGCCTCACTCCAATGCCACAAGTTCCCCGTCACAAGTCCGTCCCCCACACGCCAGGCTTTCTCCATGGACCATGGTCCACCTGTTTTCCACGAAGGGGTCGAAGCTGGGCGCGTTTCGCGGACTCCACCCCTCGGCCGAACCAGACCGGAAGGTGCCTTGAACATGCGTACACGGCCTATGTCTTGGGGTTCTGTGACACATTTTTCCTCTAGTGAATGATATGCTTCTTTCCAACCTACGGCCCTAGAGCAGGGACGTTTCGATTCGACCTTCCAGCTCAGTCTTTGGCATCTTTCGGGGGATTCCGTTCCGTCGACATGCTAAGATGACCGTCGACGTGCCAAGGGTTGTGTCCGCCGACATGCCAAAACGGGTCCTTCGAAATGCGAAAACCCCAAACAGGTCCGTGGACATGCGAAAAGGGGTCCTTCGACATAGCGGAGTGTTTTCAAACCAGCGGAGATGATCCATATTACGATTGGATGCATGTGTTTTTGGTACAGGGGTTGTTCCAGCTGGAGATCAACTTGGCACTGGGCAGGTTGTCCTCCAGAGGCTTTGCTTATGAGCGCATTCACCCGTGCCTGATACCTGGCCGCCCATGAAGTAAAGGTTTGTGTGTTCGCAACTGCTTTTGGCTACTGCATGGTCCCTTTGCTAAAGAAAACGTCCGTAACATATACATATGTATTTCAATCCAAATAGTATAATGAATCAATACATATGTATCATCATCAACCGAAATAGTATCATCACTCAAACTATGTATTTCAATACATATGTATGTCGGGGCTGGTCACAGGAGCATCGCCCAGCTAAGTACATGACTCCCAAAGCGTGTTTCCTTTCCTTTCAATCTCCTTGCAGGGAGATCACTCAATTGGCCAAAAAGCCAAAAAGGATGGAACGCAACCACATTGGGGCCTTCGAGTTTGAAGGCGATTCGTTTTCATGCACAGCATCAGACGGCTTGGGCCTTTATGCTGCCTTGAGATCTTATATGTTTGAATTGGGTGTTCATTCTGAAGGAGGCCGTGACGCCGATGTGGCCAAAAGTTTTTTGACGTTGATGGATTTGATTGAACTGTTGCATATGTCAATGAGAGGTGCCGTGGACGCTGGTCGGTTGGAAACTTTGTCCCAAACATATTTGAAGAGGTTTGTAAGTGCCTGAGGGATCAGAAATTTATCCCAGCTGCTTCTGCCACGAGAGACTGCACAAGGAGATAAAGAGGTATGGAGACAATTTACACAATACTGGACCATGGTTTGACAGAAAGTTTTTGGAGGAACTTCGGCAGCAACGGTATGTCATATGTTTTTATTGACGCTTGTATCTACATATATATATATATGTATGTCCTTTTGGTGTTCCACACAAAACAAATTGTTGATTTGTTTTGTTTTACGAGGTTTTGCATATACATTGACCATCTGTTGGCTTACGTGTTCTTTGGGGTTCTCCACGAACCATTTTGCATCCAAGCACAGGAGATCACGCTATCGCAGCTGCAGAAGCTCCAAGCCCTTGACCCTTTACAAGACACCGTGTGCTACTTGGAGCCACCTTTGCAAGCGGCTCCTGCAAATGCGGGTTTTGAGTCCACATCCAAAACGGGCCGGGGAAACAGATTTGCTGCTGCGGGGAAGTCGGGGCGGGAATTTTTGTAAGTTCGAAAGAATTGTAAAAATAGAAAACTAGTAAATCTGTTCCGTCGACGTGCCAAAACGGCGCTCCGTCGACGTGCCAAAACGGGCCGGGGAAACAGATTTTGCTGCGGGGAAGTCTGGGCTGGAATTTTCGAAGTTCGAAAGAATTGTAAAAGAGAAAAATAGTAAATCTCTAATCGAACTTGTGGGATAGGATGTGAACTCCCAATGCTCGCAGAATGGTTACCTATGACCCTGAGAATGAGGATGAGGCTTATTATGGGTATGGGTGTCAAGAAGGCCATGCAAAGCCCAATTCCAATCAGTTATCCAGGTCCAGTACTACTAAGCAAGTTTCTCAACTTTTGTTGGGCCTGGTGGGCACATTGTGGTTCAAGAAAATGATCTTCTCTCCATTTCATAAAGAATGTGGAGGGAGAAGCCCAAAAAGTGCTACCTTTGCAACAATGAGAATGCTTATGGGCAAGGAAGGGTAGAGTCGGATCCAGAGGTTGTTTAAAAAAAAAGTTGGCTTGTTTGGGAAACAGGAGCACAAGAACATATCTAGACCGCAACCGTGGAAACTCTTTCAAAGCATGACAAAATCTAAGAAAAACACAACAAAAGCGCGTAAAAGCCACACCCGCATAACTTCGAGGTCTCTACTTTTTGGGGGTTCACATACGACCTCATGCTCATGGACCTTGACAAAGCAATTTCCTCCATCTTTCCACCCAGAAAGACCAGACGCTGCGACGCCGCTGCCGGCAAGACGCCCACCTCGACCGCCGCCACATTGGATCGAACAGTCCGTGAGGGGCGCGGGTTTTTCGGTTCCAAAGTCCCAACGTGACAGCTTCGTTCAGCTTCGGTGTTTTCCCTTTTCCGGGCACCTGTTTTAAGGGCTCTCAAATTCTCAGGCACCCACGTTTCCGAAGGTCTTCAAGCAAAGAGCCCCAAAGAACCCAGAGCCAAAGCGCCAGCGCCACCGCAGACTGAAAGCCGCCCCGCGTCCACCCGTCAGCCACGCCACGTGCCATTCACCGTTCGTCCTCGCCGCGCGTGGCCTCCGCCTCGGTGGTGTAGCCGGCGCGTAGCTGGAGACGATGTTGCCGTCTTACACGGGCGAACCAGGCGAGGAAGAGTGGCGGCTTGCGATGTGGAGAGAGAGACCGGGAGCGAAACTTCATCACCTTGGGCGGAGACCGGAGACCACGCGACGCCCGGTGGTCGGGCAAGGTCGGTTTCGGAGATCGTCGGTGGCGGATCGGATGTTCAGTTGCGACTTGCTGCAAGACCTGGAACGATCTGATTGAGTTGCCCCAAGAGGGTTCGCAGCAAGTTGGATACAGAGACCTGAAGAATAGGGAGACCTCGCAAAGACCCTCTGGAAGCAGGTAAAATGACTAAAACCCACTGGTTGGGGGTCTCCCTATTAAAAAATACACACCCACTTCAATGTGTTCCTCTTCTTCTTTTAGATTGGATCTAATTGGAAGCAGAGTTGACTGGCAAGCCACTCCAGACCAGATCATGAAAGTGCGGAGGTTGGATGATGAATGGTAGGCGAAAGAAATACAATTCACGCTTGATGGAAGCTGAAACTGCTCTCTTGACAAAGTGCAAATTCCATCCGTCCATGCCATTCCCTATAAAGTGCGAGAAACGCATGGGTGGCAAACGATGATCTCGTTGATTTGGGAAACCATGAAAAGGATCCTTTCTTTGCGAACAGGAGCCCAATTCGGTCCCGATGTCAGTCGGCAGGTGCACTCGTGCACGCACCATCGCGTGACGCTCCGCCACTCGCGACGGACGCGACGAGGCACCAATACCAATCGCATCGAGAGGCACTGGAGCGGAATTCGACCCTTTGGTCGTTCTGGTCGTCACAGTCGCAGGATGGAGGTGTAGTAGACACAGAGCCATGAGTCAAATCAGCACTGCGGGTGCTGTTTGTCGTGGGGACCGTCCGCCTGAAAATCAGTAGCCAGTAGGTTGGAGGCCATTGCGCTCTTCGGTTCCCGAAAGTGCGCGGCGCACGCGGAGAGCGACCGCGCGACGACACGACCCGCAGCGTACGCAGCGCAGGGGCCACGGCACCGACAATCTCGAATCTTTTGCCAACGTCTTTGCGAGGCCGACGCGGCATCGACGGTGCGTATGGCGTTATGGCGTGGGCAGCACGTGGCGACGACTGCTGGTGTGTTTTTCTGGGCCCGAGAAGGGTGTACCCTAAAGGTGGGCCTTAAAGGTCTAAAATGGTCTAAATATAGAGGTCGGTCATAGTAAGCTCAAGTACTTAAGCAACTGAGATCGCACCCCTTTTGTTCGATCGCTTGGGCATCGTTTTCTGCATGGTTTTCGCGGTCGCGCCGGGGTCTCCCAACGGCCAACTTCGCTTCAACTTGGCGCATCTCCGAAGCTTCGCAGCTGCGGGGGCGGGGTGAACCGTGCAGAAAGTGTGTCCAACCGTCCCCCCCCAAAAAACAAAGAAACACCCACCAGCCCTTCAAAGGGGTCACCTGGCTGGAAGCCCCTACACTATCTATAGCCTTTTTCGGGATCTCCATTGGACACCCCTTTGAAGGTCCAGACACACACTGAGACACACAAATAAAAATAAACACCCTAATGGTGTTTTTCTTTCGTGCCTAAACCCAGTAATTTAATTCTAATAGCAAACATTGTTACTACTAGTAAGGCACCTGTTACTACTAGCGTGGCACTTGTT